GGTCTAATTTATTGAGCAGATCTGCATTCAAGTCGAGATAACACACATCACCATAGTCGATAAGTGGAAAAATTAAACTCTGCACAAGCATCGTCTTTGTTTTTATTAGGAGGAAATTTTTAAGGCGATAGAATCCTCGTAAAATATTCGTAAACCTCTGACTGACACTAGTTACCTGAGTTTGCCAGTTCAGAGTCGCATCGATGTGCAGACCGAGATCCTTGACCGATGTACTAATAGGCAAAACGGTGTCATTAAAGATGATGCCAGTAATATTATCAAGATCAATTCTGCTTGTCATTCTCGAACTTCCTATGATGATCGCTTGGCATTTTGATGGGTTCACCGTTAAACCGAACCTGCAGCACCAGTTTTTTATGGTCTCTAAGTCTTGATTAATACTATTTACAGCTTCGTCCAAATTTTCTACTCTTGCATGTGAATAGATCTGCAGGTCGTCTGCATACAAGTGATACGAACACCGAAGTTCATGGGTTATGTGATCGATAAATAAAGAAAACAGAAGAGGAGAAAGAATACCGCCTTGTGGAACACCAGAGTCGAGTTCGGCCCATATCGATGAAGATTCATCGGTTCGGACGGACTGCTGGCGTCCTCGAAGATAGGACGAGAACCATTCCAGTGCATCATCGGAAATCATGAAGTGGGTTAGTATTGTTAGTAGGATATCGTGACTCACAGTATTGAAGGCGTTCGAGAAGTCGATAAGGGCTAGTACAGTTATTTTGCCTTCCTCCACCGCCGCTTTGATATCGAGAGTCACTTTGAGCAACGCTGTCTCTGTACTGTGTCCAGGTCGAAATCCTGACTGATATAGGTTGAGCAAATTATTCCCGTAAATGAAGTTTGAAAGTTGCTTAAGTACGCAGGCTTCTAGGACTTTGGAGAGAAATGGAAGTATGGATATTGGACGAAAGTGGGTAGGAAGAGAAGGGTTAGGTACTTTGGCTAATGGACGTACGTAAGCTTTGCGCCATAAGGATGGAAAGACATTGGAATCAAGGGAATAATTGATCACAAAAGTAATGGCTGGTAAAAGCTGTTCCAGGATAGCGGTTACCATAAAACGGCTTATTTCATCACAACCAGTGGCGTTGGATTTGATGGACAGGATAAATTGTTTGACCTCTTCTGGTGCAGCTGGAGAAAAATCAAAGGAGTTTACATTATGCCTAGGCAGACGGGCCACATAAGCCATGGTTTGAACTTTGCTTTGATGATCCAATGTAGTGGATGTGATGAAATGGAGATTGATATCATCCAAAGCAATGCTCGTTGGAAAGTCTGCATAGCGTTCTCTACCAATGCCAAGAGTTCTTAGGAACTTCCAGATATCAGCAGAAGAAGATGAAGAGATGCTAGCGTTACGTATCACTTGATTACACTTATTTCTAGCAGTCTTATAGGCAAGCCAGCTATCATCACATCGAGTTTTCTTAAAACGCCGAAAAGCACGATCCCTATTCCGCATTAATCGTATGGATTTATCCTTAGTGGGAATCGGACTCTCGATATCCGTGTCAAGAGGTTTGCCAAGTACTTTTTTTTTAAATCCTAGATATACAGTGCTGTCTAGACCCAAACTATGTACAGCTTGTATTGTTATTTTTTTAAATGATACCGAGATATTTTAACGTGGTTTAAAAGTAAATACCTACTTTTTTTATAGTTGTATTAAGGTGTATATTTAAATGAATTTGATTTATGTATATAATCTGGTTTCGGGGGCGCAAAATCCATCTAGCTAGGTTTAATTTTTAGAAAATTTGCAAAAAAAATATGTGATTAAGGTTGATCGACCTGGATGACCGAGCGACCTGGATAATAAATGTATGGTTATATGGTTTACTCTTACATGCCTAAACCTCTACGCCGATTTAAAAAAAATCTTTCACGATATGAAAGCTACATTATCAGCGTTACTTTTTACTACGATAACCGACACTTACGCGGGCGGAGCCGCGGGCAAAAGTTAGTACAGAGTTATATATTTCTAAATACATATAATCATATAATACATAAATATAATCGATAAATTAGACACAGAACAAAAAAGCAACCTCATCGCACAATTTTCTGTTCTCCTTTTGAGTCGAAACCACGACCTTTGGATTGGCAGTTAGGGTCACTAACCACTGAAAAAGGAAAAGCCTGTTAACATTCACAGAAAAATATTAAAATAATATTACAGCGCTTATGAACACTCCCTTACAATAAATTCCATCCCCAATTTGGACTGGAATCTCTCGATTTGATTCTGTGTTTTGCCCCGAATCAGGATCAAGCATATTTTATATTAATATTCACGCCTTTACAAACGCTATGTGGATCAGCAGAGACGTAAAGCAGCTTGGAGTGTTTTCTCGAACATGTCTTTAGATATCAATTCATTATACCAATGTGTAATTTTAATACAATAATAAAGACTAAACTACAAAAATTGGCCTGTTGGTGTAGTGGTTAACGATCCTGAGGCATAGTTCGAGAGAGTTCAATTCCCAGCTAGGTCAAATATCGTGTGATGAGCTATTCATTCGGGTGGGTGGGTCTCGTAAGAGCCGTCTAAGGGAGCAAACTACGGAGGACAACAACACTGCAAAGAGAAGAAAAACTTAAACAAACCCTATACCAACCCTCTAGTAGGCCAAAACCTTTCTAAGGAGAGGCCTATGTCCAGCAGTGGACTATTAAAGGCTGTTGATGTTGATTATGTAGAGCATGATCATTTGTTCTGTATCGGGGTGTAATTTATCTCACACAAGCAACCTTTATACGGATATTGTCAAATTTAAATTAAGGCAGCCTGCGATGTACTGTTACAATATATTGAAGATCTAGCTAAACAAGTAAATAAAATTGAAGTGTCTGTTTGTAATGTCAAAATAATAGGTTATTTTCATGCTCACACGGTTATCTGCACATTTATCTGTCTGTCTGTTTGTTCCTGGTAATCTTCAAAACGGCTGCACCGATTTTGATAATATTTTATTGACTTAAGTAGAGAAGTGTGTCTGGCTTACGACAATAGGTTCGCCGTTTACTGTGGCGATTGTGGTTTACGTAAGTGGGAGAAGAACAGGAAAATAACTTTCATGTAAAAGTTACTTACCAAAAGCCAATTACAGCCTACCACTTTTTTATGGTAGAGGGAAGAGGTATATATTATTATACGAGTAGGTGGGTCACCTGATGGAAAGTGACTACCGCCGCCCGTGGACGCCCACAACTCAGGATTGGAAGGAGTAAGCTCTTTTCTTGAAGGATTAAACTTCCTAATCAAGACTATTTTATGATTAATACGCTACTATTATTTATATATTTAATACGTCAAGTAAATTATTTGTACCAAGTCTTAAAACCCGTTTAAAAAGAAATATGTGAAAAAGGTTGTTTAAATCTATAAGGGTCCAGTATATACTTTGACCTCTTATGGTATAAAAGTCAATGACCGTTCAAGTTATAATGGCTAAGGAATGAAATAAGACATTAAAAACAGTCGAAATTTGACCGGGGAGCACCCGTCTCCTCGTCCCGATATATCTGCCATAAAAAAGGCCATCGCTAGTGGACTAGACTAGACCTAGTACTGTCACTTATGCCTGTTACTCAGAACAGTTTTTTTTTTAATTGTCCTTTGTAATTCAACTCAACGTATTAGCTTGGAAATGGGATGCGTTTTAATATGTTGTTGTAAAATAATAATAGAAATAGAAGGAAACTGAATATATCGTTTTAAATTATTTAATTTTTCTATTAAATTTCAAATTATCATTATTCGCTTTCATTTAATATCATTATCTCCTACTAGGAATTAAAAATTCAATTCAAGATTCAATGGAAGCGATTATTAGGCAATTAAAAATAAATCTTGATGATATTACGTAAAATAAACAACAAGTATATACGTATGCGTTTAAATAATCATTCATGTAAGAATATTAATGGTTTGAGCATGCTATTCAGACCTTAGGAAGGTACGATTCAATACACCGATAAACTAACGTTAAACCTAAAAAAATAACAATCACAACCAACCAATAGAGATAAGAGCCCTATTAAAAAACACACAGTCTCCTCCTACCCCCACGTTCATCCCGTCCACCCCACCGAACCCCATTTCACCCCGTAACGACAGTTTATTCCGACGTTTGCCTCATTCGAGTCGTTTCCGACATGCGAACGCGACGATTAGGTGTAATAGCAACGATTATAAAATCGAAACGCATTTAATTTTCGAACTTCATTTATTATGGTTCGATATTCAAAATAAAGTGTGGTGATTTTTAAAGTGATTTAAACCTCATTTCGAATGAAATAAAAAAAATTGGTTTATTTTTAATTAAATGTAATGACAATGGCATTGTATGCAAATATTTAGGTTAAAAAAAAAAGTTTTCTTGTTGACAGAGATGGTATTTACTTTATATTACATAATTAAATGACAATACTTGACTGTAGTGTATAACTTAAACACTGTAACCGAAAGTACCGAGTACTGTAACCGAAAATATTCCAATGGGTTTCGTTTTTCATACAATTAACTTTGCAAACAAGCACACAGTGGTAAGCGGCTATTAGAACCTATAAATATTCATTATTTTGACACTTATCCTGACAACCCTACGCCGTCGATGGAGCCAAACCAACTCATTATCAGTCGGAAGATAGTTTTGTCTACCTGTGAACTTCTGCAAGGACTACTACCCAGCCTTCTAATTGCACTGCCTTAATTACATTTCTATAATATGCCGATGTCTATGAATAAATTAAAAGTAATGTGCTGGATAAATAAAAATCTCAAATGAAAAAAACAAAAACAATATGAACAAAAATAAAGAATCAGAGTCGCATCACTACTAATGAAAATAGTGTTATAAAATCAAAGAAATAAAAAAAAAATAGTGTTAAAGACTATAAAACGGACTTATACACAAAAAAATCCTAACGTAATCCCCATGAGATAATAAACACCAATCACCATGGAGCAGGAGACGAGAAGCGAGTCTCCAACGGACTCAAACAGACAAGAACACACTTCGAAAACGTCGTTCTTGATAGAAGATATTCTTTACCGAGGACATGACACACGGAGTTTTAAAACTCCGGAACAGAGAAGACACGAATATGAGAGAGAACCGAAGCCTTATTTCCACGTGCCTGGCGATATTAGACCTCACATGCCTGGCCGCGAGGGGTCATACTTACAAGTCGCTATGGGGGCTTTGGGGGCGTATTTGCACACCCCGAATACATATAAGGCTATTGAAGCCCCTTATTTCTTATCACAAGGTAAGAAATAGATCATTACTCATATCCCAACTCCCTAAAAGCAAACAGAAGGTCAGATATACCTATAATTGGTGGTGCGATTGACAACAGCCAGTACGAGTTAAAAGTATACTATCCTGGCTTCTAAGCAATATATCGTTCCTACAAACAAATCCTCGACCAACCCGTCTGGCCAGCGTGGTATGGTAGGCCAAAACCTTCTTTCTAAGGAGAGACCTATATCCAGTCAGTGGACTATTAAAGGCTGTTGATGATGATGACCATTCCTACTAACCGTCCCTTCTTACTTACGTTTACCATACTTCCTAATCCTTAAATGTTAAAAGTGAATTTGTAACGCTTTCTAAAAAATTCTTTCAGCAATGGAAATCTACATTATCAGCAAGTAACATAGGCTTTTTACCGCGATAACCGACATAGGTACACGAGAGCAGGCATTACTATTTAATATTTTTTATAGTTTTATTAAGGTATTCGGTGTGTCAAGTATCGCAAAATCCTTCTGGAGGAGCTTATCGGTGGCGTCCCTGTCAGGGTATCCTGAGTCCCTTGCAATTGCGTCACTTGCAACTGAGCACCGTGTAGATTTAGTAGGTTCGAGTCCAACATACTATTTCACCTTCAGATCTGGTGAAGTGGTCAACCGTAGGGGTTTTCATGCGACAAAATAAGGCTGCATGCGTTTCTTTAGTGTTTTTAGGTTTCTTTAATTTAAAGCGTTGTTATTTGAGCGTACGATACAATACATATTAGGTTTTAGATCGGTCTGTGTAATATAAAATGTTAACAAAAGAAAGGCAAAGGCAATAATCTGAGGCATAAACAAGCAATATTTATATTTTTCTTATTGGCTATGTATTTCAATATTTGTTTTTTAATATTAAATTTTATTAGATTTGATTGACAACCAGAAGTATATGCGTTCTCTCAAGTAAATAAAAATAATCTAAATTGATTAATATACGAGTATAACGGCTCTTTGTGTCAACAAACATAAAAATAAAATGTTTGGAAAATTGCCTACTTATTGAGTTTAAAAACTTATGAAGTCATAAAATAAGCTAAAGATAAAATATTCTTATAGGAATTGTTTATTTTTATGATTTACTAGCTTTTCACCGAGGCTCCGCCCGCGTGTGTGTCAATTATCGCGGCAAAAAGTAGCCCATAATAATGTAGTTTTCCATTGGTGAAAGAATTTTTATAATCAGTTTAGAAGTTTACTCCATGTTTATTAAAAACTCATTGTCTATGCGTGCAATTTGCTTAAAATCAGTACTAATTGAATTACCTCGATTCTCGTAAATATAATTAAAATATTTTTTTATCTTTTCACGTTCAGGGTAGGAACTCATAATAATAATGTCATCAGGGTATAAACTGTTTGCGTTATCAATTTGATATAAACTCATCCGTTTATAAACAACTTACACTTATATACCCATAAAGAGTTGCACAACAGCAATAATTAGTAGCGACGGTAGCCCAGTGGTTAAGGCATTGGACTTGCGATGCAGAGGTCGTGGGTTCGAATCCTGACCAACATATTACCGACGTGAACCCATTTCTAACACAAGCAATTTAGCTTAGATGGAGGGGTAATGGGAAAACAAGTAATTTCGGTGGCTATGAACTTTTAAAAAATAAAAAAGAAGAAAATAACATTAATAATATTAACCTCACACATCCCACACACGGTCGTCTGATCCCAAACTAGGCAGTCTGCATTATGGTAACCAGACTGCTGATAAACATGCTTATATATTTCTAAATACTTAAATATTATAGATAAATCACAAACAACAATCGATGGTGCTCATCACACAGTTATTTGTCCTGGGTGGGAATCGAACCACGACCTCTGACTTAGTAGTCAGTACCACTGAGCACTAGGTCAACAGGCCAGTCAAAAATCTGACACTAATATCCGTTAATTCGGTCCGTAATATTCCCGTCTTGGTGCTCTCTCTAAACACAGAAAGGACATAAAGGTCCGTGACTCTGGCCACTTATCAAGGTCCACTGCCTTATCCGGTTCTCCGACAAAAAAAATCCTACTGCCCTATTCCCGCCTGAAAACGATAACAATCAAAGACGATGGTGACGAAACCTGCTCAAATCACGTTAATACTACAGGTCCTCCATATATCTGGCCTGTTTATTTTGTTGCTAAGATAGTCATGGCAAAAGATTTATTTCGTGTGCTTGTTCCAGGAGTTCCATACCATGCTCTGTTCACTCCTTCCGAACTGTCCCTCTCGGCGCTGAAGCATTGTCGACGGAGGAAAGCTAGGACTGTGTTTTCGGATCCTCAGCTCACAGGTAAGTTCCATCATCTGCATCTTTTCCAAAAGGAAATAAGGAGAACGAAAATAGGGAGAAAAGGTACTTATCCATTGCAGCGCTCTGTCTGCTTTTGATAACTTCTAGAAATACATTTAACTTTTATATTTCTGCTCCAAATTTTTATATGTCAAATATTTAAAGAAAAAAATTCTTTTTTAATCTAACAGTCTACGTAGCATAGCTGAGATAGCTCTTAGATATCAGTTTTTTTTTCAAATAACTTGATATCAATCTTTATATATGCTGCTAAATATATGCCTCTCCCATTGCACTTCACTTAGATCGATTTTGGGCTTCTCGCATCCAGCTCCTGCCAGCCATCTTTCACAAATCGTCACTCCACCTGGCCTGTGGGCGTCCTACACTACGTTTGCCGAAACGCGGTCTCCACTCAAGAACTTGTTTTGCCCAACGGTTGTCGGTTCTGCGGCTTGCTGATCCGGTAGGCTATGTCGGTGTCCTTGGTTATCTGCCGGATCACCTCATTCCTGATGCGATCCCTTAGAGAAGCGCCGAGCATAGCCCTTTCCATAGCACGTTGAGTGACTTTGAACTTGTGGACCAGCCGTAGCGTAAGTGTCCACGTTTCAGCTCCGTATGTCATGACGGGTAGAACGCACTCATTAAAGACTTTCGTCTTAAGGCACGGTGGCACCTTTGTTCGTTTTAAAGTTATTTTTCTTTCCCGGAATGAAAGGTAGATCTTTTTTTTGCACCCCGAACAATGTGAATACAAATTTCATGATCACAAATAAACTTAAAGAAACTAAGCAATTTTCGCAATTAAAATATTAGCTAAGATAGCTTTTTCTTAACTCTGAATTCCGATGTGAAAGCTACAACAAAGTTTCATTAAAATCCGTTTAGTAATGCACACAATCTTATTTATTATAATTCTCTTAAGAAAACTATGGATTTCCAATCTGTAATTAGGGATACTTTCTTTTCGCATAATGTTTTTTTCGCTTTGGCATAAATGTTTTGGCATAATAATACTTGGCCATAATTTGTTTTTCTTATGCAGTTTATGTTGACATAATTATCTTTTAGGCTAATTTTCATTTGAATAATGTTACTAGACATAATGACTATATTACCATTTGGCAATAGCATTTGGCATTAAAATCAAACAAATGTCATTTATTTTTAGGTGTTTATTTTGAAGATAAGATAGTTAGTTAGTTAGGTTAAGTTGGAGGGGGGGTGAACCTCGGGCCAAACTCGTAACTAAGCCCAGTATTGTTTAAATATGTGTACTAGTATCTAACATTTTAGGACTTCCTTATTAGTTTAAATAAATTTATGCTTTATAATGTTACTTATTTATTTATTTATTTATTTATTTATTTATTTAGGACAACTTACAAAACATACACTAATACATAATTTACAAATATTTTCTGAGTGTTGTCTTACTTACAAGTTGCCACGGAATGGTAAGGGACAGTTGCATCTAAGATTACAATGCAATATCTATAATAATATACCTAAAAATGATTGTGATTAGAGAAATTATGCTAAAATTAATTATGCACAACCTGTTATGCGCATAAATATAATTAGGATAAACAAAACTATGCCATGTTACGAGTATATGTGACGACCGGATGGCGTAGTGGTTTGTGTAACGGACTGCTGTTTCAAAGGTCGCGGGTTCGATTCCCGCTCAAGTCAAACATTTGTGTGCATGAACATTTAATGTTTGATTTGGTCTGGGTGTTTATATGTATAATATGTATGTATTTACAAAAAAAAAGTATATATGTATTTATATCAGTTGTCTAGTACCCAAAGTACAAGCTCTGCTTAGTTTGGTGTTAGATGGCTTTGTGTGGGGTTAGATATCTTGAAATTTTATGCGAATGAATAGTGGACCCTATGATTAACGTTATATTTTGTTATAAAGGTCTTGAAAAACGCTTCGAAACCCAGCGGTACCTTTCAACGCCTGAACGAGTAGAGTTAGCGGGAGCCCTAAACCTTTCAGAGACGCAGGTGAAGACCTGGTTCCAGAACAGACGCATGAAGCATAAAAAGCAAATGAGGAAACAGCAGCAACAAAGAGGTATGTACCTTACTACATATCACATTACTATATTTGAACATAATAATATATGTACTCCGGCAATCGCTAGAGGCTTGGACTGGTCAACTTCGTAGATTCTGTAGATATTTAATAATCTACTGCTGTACATAGGCCTCTCCTTAGACAGGAGGTTTTGGCCTACTATACCACGTTAGGCAGATGGGTTGGTATAGGATTTGTTTCATTCCTTCTCTTTGCAGTGCTCTTGTCCTGCATAGATTGCTCCCTTAGACGGCTCTTACGACACCTACGGGATGAAATGGGGTGGTGACACACACATATTTAAATACTTAATATTTACATATAGATGTAAAGAAAGTGAATTTTTATATAAAAAAAATTGCTTATAAGTTGGAAATTATGAAAAATCGGCTACACGAAGCTATGGTACAAAAGACTACAATGAAAATTCAAGTTATAATAATCAATTCAATCAAACAAGACATTTCAAATGTAAAGTTAAAAGTTCAGACGATCTCTAGTTTACAGTGAGTAAACTGTGACTATTGTTGCCTATCTTTTAAGACCTCGTTGTTATCTTCTTTTAAACAATAATTAATCAGATCTCTTACGCAGAAGAAAGTCCGTTTAATGTTGATTTTGTCAATCAATTTTATTGAGATAAAAGCCTACGTGTTGTGTCAAGTTTCATCGAGACCCGTTTAGCAAACAAACATACATCCAAACTTTCGCAATTGTAATAGATGTAAACTAAACTGTAAAAAACTTTATGACCGAATGGTAAAAAAAAATAAAGTCTTTTATATAAACACTATAATGGTAATTATGAGGACGTCTGTGATAGGTGATCGTGGGTTAGTTATCCGTTCACTGCAAAATATTTGTATGCATGAATATTCATTGTTACGTGTGTTTTTATGACTTTTCCGTCAGTCATAGGGGCCTCTCTTAGCACAGGATGGACATACGGGTACCCTGATCTCTTAGAACTTCTGCAGTCTCCACTCTGTTTCCCATCCAAGACTCCCAGTACCCCTTACTCTAGCTCTCTCACCCTATGTCTTTTTTGTCCCCGAATTACCCACTACGTTTATCTCGTTTAAAAATGATTTTATACCTAAGGAGAGTTGGCGTTAAGCAGGTTGTCATAAAAGAAATAGTCCGATTTTTTTTGATATATTACGCATTGCGCTTGCCTATAAATAAATATTACTGGAAGCAGGACCAAATGATGATGATGTTGGGTGTTTCTATATCCACGTTCTACAAACAATCACCAAAGCTCTGCTTAATTTGGGTCTTAATCTGATGTAGATTATTATTAAAATGTTAGTCAAATTCATAAATTTCGTTTGTTATGTCGTCGCGTTGGTCTACATGTGAAACCTCATATTATCAGCAAACTGATAATCTTTCAGATAAAAAACAAACAAAAAAAAACTTTTGAAACTAGGTATTTCACGCATTTTTTTGGTGTTATAATTTTAAGCTAAAATAATGTGTGCTTTGTAAAGGAAAAAAAACTCATTTGCATAAAAAATATTTTACGAAAAGTGGTGCGAGGTGTCACATACCCTTCCAAACTTGTCTTCGCATAGTTATATACCTACAGTAGTGCAGTAGGCACTACTTACAAAGTTCCTCCCCTCTTAGGTAGTTTTACTTCTCCAACTAAGTACGTACATAGTTCTAAGTTATGCTTCTCGGGCAACTCTTCGTAAACTCGTACATAGTTGCAAATTTCACTAAATATATCCAATATTGTACAGTAAGTTATAAATATTGTCTAATATAGGAATTGGTAACAAATAACGTGTCTCATTAATGAATCTTGAATGAATGCCACGGGAACATTATGATGAATTGAAATAACCTGTATTATTAATTCCTTAACTGTCCACTCTTGTGTGGGATGGTTTTTTCTTTATTTTTTCGAATTGCAATCAAGGGGTTAAATGAAAAAAAAACGAAAGCGGTTCATAAATGACGCAGTTCTAAATTTAAAAATTATGAAAAAAAATATAACGGAATCGGGAACCTCCTTCTTTTTTTGAAGTCAATTCTAAACTTACCAATTTCTAATAGAAAAGTTGCTTCACCAAAAAATACGGTTTTAAAAACGAGTCTCATTTCTTTTTGGACGTTATATCTCTAGACAAAAATGTCTAATACTACAAGAGGTTTTAATTTGTGTTAGTAAAAAAACCCTTCCTAGAAGAGTTTCTATAGAGAACTTCCAGCTATCACCTATTGGAAAGTGACCATCGCCGCCCATGAACGTCTCCAACTCAGGAGGCACAAACGCGTGGCTGGCTTTTTAGGAAGGAGTACGATCTTTTTTTGAAGGTTTGAAGGTCGTATCGGTCCGGCAATACCGCAAACGATAACCCGTTCCACAAATTGGTTGTGCGAGGCTAAAAGTGTCTTGATAAGCGCTCAGTGGTGGAGCGCAAACTATCCAGGAGATGGGGATGCGAATTTTGTCGTGAGGAATGATGGCGGAAAGTTGCGGCCGGTATTAGTCCGGTTTGCGAACTTTGATACTCACAGAAAATCGGTGTTAAGTAAATATGTCGCTGCACTACGCTGAATTACGTTACTGATTCCGGGCATTCAAAGGCCAGTAACGCCAGTTGTGTCTCTTGAGCTGTTAGGTGTCCATGGCCGGTGGTAATTGCTTACCTTTAGGTAACTGATAGTAGACAGGTACTTGTAATGAATGCTTCACGTAGTAGTGGGACTCGCCATGAAATAGTCGATCTTAAGATCTGGCACCGAAATAAAATCAATTCGCCCTTTAAGAAAAATCATATCGTACCTAAAATACATCAAATATGGCAGGTTCAACCATCTTCCCGAGTCAATCTAGCTCTAATTGAAGTCAAACCTCAAAGACGAGCTCAATCTAATAATAGCGCTTTTAGCCCACAACTCAAGACGTTGTCAAATCAAGTTAAATACAAGATGGCCGAACGTTGCCCGGCAACCAAAACATCTTGGGAACTCACCCGTTCTAATATGAACTTTACATTGTAAATTTACAGTTCAAATTGCTTCAACGATTACTATAAGGGGTGGGTTGTTATTAGTTGAACGAAAATCGAACGTTATGATTGGGGTATTAAGGCAGGTAATTGCGTGTTAATGTAATTTCTTAGCATTGTCTTTTAATGATTTTCGTTTCTTAGTACTTTGGGAGTACTTCAGCGGCAGTATCTTGAATGTATTTATTATACACGTATACCAACTGTTCCCTACAGTTTCGCATGCTTGGACCTGGCCATTGAGAAGTGTTCAGTGATATTGTCTTCCAGGGCCATTTTTTTTTTATTGCAGGCATATGTAATTTAGTTTTGTGGCCGACTAGATATCCTCCCGCTTCAGCACAGCCTATAGCAGACAGCTGGGATGATGCAACCACATATTAGTATATAGATTAAATTATATAGTAGATTTAATTTAAATTCATTGGGTGTAATTTGTAATTATTTTTTTGGAAAAACTACTCCGGCACTAGGAATGAATCCTGTGTCGCGGGGCCTTTACAAACATACATGAAACGGATATAAAGGACACCCAGACTCAGAACAACAATTTATGGAAGTTATGGTTATGTTACATAAATTGTTGTTTATGGTTATGTTTGCTTATGGTTTTGTCCCATGTGGGGATCGAACCCACAACACTCAGCGCAGTAGGAAGCGGCGAGGTTACCGCTTAAACCACTACGGGATCCGTGCAAGTCAATTGATTCAATTGTTATATACCGGCTTTTTAGTTATTTCTTCTTTCTCATTGAGAAACGTTGGATTAATAATGCTTATAACTTTATCGTCTTAGAACAGAGAAAATAAAACATAGGTGTAGCCTATTTGCTATGCTACTTTTGTCGATATTTACATAAAGTCATTATGTCATATAATTAAATCTATTGATACCACCCACCGGTGGCTATGTCGGACTCGAACCGACTTAAAACCGCATGCCGGGTTCCAGTAGCCGGCGAATTAGGTGTTACCCTGACGTACCTGACCTACGTACACAGGAGGGGGTCATCTACGACAGCTAGATGACCCCCTCCTGTGTAGGAACCCCCATGCTACCATTGTGCTCCCGAAAGGGCGCGTGGCACCCTGGCCTGCTTCTGCTAGGGTGACAGATGGCCTCACCTGTCACCCCCAGGTCTGCGCTTCGGGAGGACCTCTAGCGCCTGAGTCGTCTGCGGTACCTGGCCCGTTCCCGAGCTTGGCGGGCCGGGAGATTTCTAAACCTCTCCCGGTCCGGCTCCGCCATCTCCTTCGCAAGCAAAACTTGCTCGCAGAAGGAGACGGCAAAGTTATACGCACTCTTGCTCCGCACCATGATACCATTAACTACCTGTCATGAAATTTCAATTCTTTGTTCCCAGGAGCTGCTCCAGTAGACTTCACAAAACACAACGCGACTCACTCCGAGTGTCGAAAGGTAATTATAGTTTGGTTACAAACGCATCGTGCCTGGTGACTCGGTGATTTACATTTAATTTAACATCTCATCATCAACAGCCTCCTTTCTAAGGAGAGGCCTATGTCCATCAGTGGACTATTAGATAGTCCACTGCTGGACATAGGCCTCTCCTTAGAAAGGAGGCTTTAGTCACTTATTTATTTTAGTGAAATATCATAGTAACAAACAGCTGTGCGTAACCATGTATGTAACTATTTATAAAACCTTATGATTGATTGAAGTTAATTCAACACGGGTCTGTTAGAAATTCATTGTACATACATTCTCTTATGTCTGTATCCTGGAGGGGCAGACAGGGGCAACTATTAATTTATTTCCACTTACGTAATACGATGCAGGCCTATTGCCGTCAACCCATTATCCTATCCATTTAAATCGTTTTGATACTGTCACTATAGACGTTACATAATATTTCTTAATTTCCATTGAATAAAACTTATTTTACACTAGTTTGGTGTGCGTTCTACTGAACTATTTTTATATTTATTTTTTTATTGCAGGCAGACAACTCTAGACTGTCAACACAAACGTCAGACTCCGACACAGAACATAGCGATAGTGACATCGATATTGTCGGCGAATCAAATTACTCACAGCACTATTCGACTAGCAACACGTAAAATTCGACTAAAATTTAAGGATTCTCGTACACTGCGCAATTGTAAATTAATTTATTTAATTGGTCTCTAGTTGCCTGGTACATCTTCACAGTTCTTTTGTGAGCAGGAAAAATACTCTTAAATTATTGAAATGCTTTCAATAATTTAAGAGTAATTTATTATTTATTTAGTAATTTATTAGTTAATTGATTTTTAATTTAATCATGATGATGATGATGAATAAATTATTGATGTGGCAGTTTGCTAGTAAAAAATTTGCCCTAAAAAGAAAGTTTTTTTTTGTTTCAAGTAACAAGATATCTTGTAGGTTTATACATACTTATTTGACTTATAATGAATTTAATTGGCCATTTAACTTTTATTCAGCTCAAAAATGCCTATCACACGTAGCTGTTGGAGGGTGGGGGTCAAGATTTGCATCCTCCTTTTTTTAAGAAATTAAGAAATACAGTTTATTACCAAGTCCTTATGCATTGAAGTCGGTGGTAATTTTTAAATAGTTTAATGAATATTAGATGGACTAATCTGTATTGTGCAGTGTACGAGGTTACTTATTTTCTAAGTTTAGTGTTGGGAATTTATCTCGACTAACGAGTATGGACGAGTCAATAAAGTATTTAATAATATGTCTAATTTTAAAACTTAAGAATTTAGACAAATAACAATTAGGAAGTTGTTACATAAATAGTTTTCTAGTCAGATAATAGAAAAATAGATAATTTAAGATATATGGTTATAATTTTTTAGTACTTGGCATTTTTCTTTCATGTTTTTGGGTGATATCTTTTCATTCAGTGGCAATTTTTTCATGAAAACTGCTAGTCGTGATTTTAAGGATAAAATTTAGTTGACAAAAAACGATGATTTAGTTAATACTGTCTGTATTATTTAAAAAACAGGTTACACAAAAGGTTTAATATCCACTAGACTTCTCTGAAGGGGTTAAAAAATTAACATTGCTTTTTCCTTCTACACAACCATAGTTATTGCAAATAATATTTTATTGATAATGAAACCCAATTATTTCATTTTACCATAAAGATAGGTCATTTTTTTTTACCTAAAGGTAATTTTACCTTTATCATATACCTACTTAATACTTCTTATAAATGTGAATACCTTACACATGTTTTAGGTTCTTATTTGAATACTTTATTTAGATTTTTACGTTTAAAACATCAAAGTCATATTTGTGTAAAAATAGTAATTTTACATAATTCTAGTCGATTTAATAAGTATTTTAAGGTACCTAGTCAACATTAGTAATATTATTAAGTGCAATAATAGTGTTATTTTGTATAAACATATTTATTGTTAATAATAAATGAGTGTTTAGTCATTTAAATTTAGTAAATTATTTGTACAAATTGTCTATTAGGGATTTATTAGGGTCCTGATACACTGTGCGCATGTGACTACTATTACTAATTTATTTAGCAGACTGCAACGATTTTACTTTCGTAACCATAATGAGAAATAATAATTCAATTAACCTGTGTCTTTAAAAAGATTTCTATTACTTTTAACATGACATTATTACAAAAGCCTGGTGCTTCTACTTACCCTTTTATCAAAATTTTATTTGTAGTCGGCGCAATAGATTTTCTTCTTCCATTTTCCTCTATAATTTCCCAGTTCAATGCTTTATCGCTTTCTAGCCATATTTACTTTAATCATCATAAAATTAATAAATAAAAAATCATTGCGCCGACTTCAATTCAATTTGGGAAAAGGGTAAGAAGGTGATGACTATAGATATTTGCCTATTTTTGTTGTATTTTTTGACATTTATTTCTTCAAGATTAATAATGAATAACATCCGTACATATATTTTGATATTACTTTAAAATTAAAAGTTTTAAATGTACTACGTAACGACTCGTATATCTTATCGATAACTTTCCGTAAACAGGTGTTTTATAAAACGATTAAAATCATTAATCGTGAGCCGAATAAGGTTATTTTATTTAAAACCCAAGTAATTATTCCCTGGAATTATTATTTATTGTTAGTGACGTTATTTTGAATTATTAATACGATAATAGGGAAGCTCAACGTAGATTATAATTTGGATAATTGGCACAATAATTGGTAATTTAGAGTAAATTATGATCCAACAATTGGCGTTTTGTGTAATAGCTTTTTCGAATGAATCTGAAACAATTGTTTTCAATAATATTGTTTGATATATATTCGTGAACAGATTGGAAAATGGGAAAAATATAAAATAGAGAAAAATTATGTGTTTCTTTTAAATCAATACAATTTAGTTATCATTCATTTCAGTGGAAAAGATATACCAATATAATATATCGGGTGTACGTGTGAAATCGCTGCAAGGACGTAACTCTAGCATGCATATTATGCAAAAAAAAAAAGACTATTTGTTTGGAAGTTATGAACGTTTCAATTTTCAATTTCAGATATTATCAGCTCCGGTTCTTATAAAACGGATGGAACGTGTTAAAGATTTTAAATTCAATATTATTCAATTCATCATTGAAAAAATCCATAAAAACTGACTAAAAATTATGCAATGTTTTACGAGTATAAGTGTTAAGTTAAAGCTGGTGTCAAATTTTTTTGGGACTTCTGTATAATACAGTTCTTAAAATTTTTTAGTCGGCTCTTACGAAAATAAAAATATTTTTGCTGACTTACATACACACATACACAAATAATATATAAAACTTGACGGGGAGTTGAATCTGCTAGGGTGTCCGGAATGCGAGCTCATACTTTATTTCATCTTAAATGAGAGGCACCTGGGTGCTATCCTGATTTCGAGAGGTAGAGCGTTCCAGAAGAGGACAGATTGGAATAGGAACGAAGAGTGGACACATGTGGCAGTATGAGTGGGGCATAACAGGAGTGGACCTTTTGAGGAACGGAGGGTTCTATTGTGATTGGAACATATAAATTGGAATGAGGCTACAGGTGTGTGGAAATTGTAAAAAACTAATTTCTTTCTAACTAACTAACTTCTGCCGCCGGCGTGGACGTCTCAATGTGACCACGACCGCTCTGCCAAGAGCGACACGACAGAGAAGAATTTCTTTACTAATACAAATTATTATTGTTTCAAAGTCGTTGTGTTCATTAAAATGGCAGGTACTTTGTACTACTAATCAGATAATTTGTTTCCGTTTAAACACACATTAAAATATTATTAAGTATTTTTTTGCTATCGTACACTTGTGTCGCTTTATTACAGACTACCCTCTGTTTCTTTTATCTACTGTCGATTTATCTATCAAAAGGTTGCCTGGAAGAGATTACTCTTAGCAATAAGGTACATTACATGTTTGTCATTTTTTATGTACTACATACTACTTGTAAAACGGTGTAAAAATAAAGAGTTTTCGATCTACCTATAATTGATGTACAATAAATCATATTTTTATTTATCAATCTATCTATTTGCGACCTCTCTTTCAATGCTTTTTTTACTTTCTGTTGTATTTTAGAAATTTTTGGCTGTTGGAATTTAAATTATCGACATTCGCATCTGACCACGGGGGCGTGGTTTAGATGAACAGTACACATAGGTATGACCTTTATAGACTCGAGTTCCAAATGATGTAGGAAAAAAATTCCTTAAATAACCAAAATAAATAACAAAATAAGGAGTCGTGTACAAACAAGCGTTTTTAACCTACCATACAATAAAAGTTAAATTAGTTATCCATACTAATTTTATGAAGCGAACATCCATGGAAAATGTAGTAAAAACGGGGCAAGTTTATTCCATTTGGGACCCAGACGAAGTTGCGTGGGTCAGCTATCGTTTGTTACTTGGAAGCTCATTTTAGGAGTAGATAATAATGGTAACATGATTTCGCTTAAGACAAGTGAAATTGTTTGTTTGCATGCATTGGCAAGCCAGCTCTTGGATTTTGTGTCTACTTCTGCGAGAATTTTTTGATCATCATCATCATCATCAACAGCCTTTCAGGTATCACAATCAGGTGTATCAACTTTTTTCATGAGATGTCCAAACTTTCTATATGGATACTCAGACTCGCTTCCTGTACTTGTACGTCTATATCTTTCGAACTACGCAATGGATTTTAATGCGGTTTTCATCAATAGAGAGAATGATACCTTTCACACCACATTAGTAAATCTACATTGCACCCGTGCGAAACCGGGTCGGGTTGCTAGTGTATAATATTCTTTTTGGTATTTCTCTCTTTTTGGTATTTCCTTTTGGTATTTGTCTGGCAGATGTGAAACTTTGAAATTATTTTGTAGAGTATAAAACCACTTTGATGTAAATAGTGTGAAAGAGTCGTAGAGTAACTCACGGTACTCTATATCATAAAAAAACTTGTCTCTTAAAATATTTTACTAATACAGAAACTTATTTATTTAATACTGTAGTAACACACTGACTGCATTTTAAATTATACATAGGTGGCTTTTTTTAAAACTATGCACATTTGTGTATCCGCGGACTTAATGCCCAGGACATTCTCTTCCAGTCAAACTTTGGGTGGTGTAGAAATCTTGTAATATTATGTAATCAATGAAACACAGTTCACTACATAAATAAACTTATATATACACATATACAACACAACACATCATAAATATACATCCATGATTATATTATAAATGTGAAAGTGAGCTTGTTTGTTTCTTTGTTTGTTTGTTACGCTTTCACGCCTAAACCACTAAACGAACTTTAAAAATTCTTTCACCAATTGAAAGCTACATTATCAGCGAGTAACATTCTCAACTTTTTACCACGATAACCGACTTACACGGAGGCGGAGCCGGGAGTAAGAGCTAGTGTTATGTACTAATTAACGTTTAAAAAAATTATAGTTTTAAAAAACTAAAAAACACGCTTTCTATAGAAATCTAAACTAAAGAATAGAAAATAAATTTGAAAAAAAGCGTGTGGTGCTTTTTACTATTGACAACAGGCACCCAACGCTTTTTTTCAAATTTATTTTCTATTTTTTAGTTTGGTTTTCTATAGAAAGCGTGTTTTT